ACGGCCGGAAACCATTAGAAAATGCTTTCTGAATTCTGAGAAACGAAGGGGGCCAAAAGAAGGGTGGAATAGGGGCCCGTTGAAACAAAAAGAGTGGGAGCCATTCAGCCGAGAAGAGCATAACCACCAACCACCACCACCCATACTTCCTGTCTGTTCTTTTAGAAGGGGGAGAGAGAATAGGTGGTGATGTTCTTTCTTCTGAAAGCAAAATGGGGAGACTCATTTGGGGTTTTTGAAGGGAGGAGGGAGAGAGAGTGAGAGAGAGACCGGAAGCAGACCTGTGGCCCATTTTGACTCCAAAAAACAAGAACGGCTCGCCCAAAAGCGAGGATTAGTGGGGCCATATGGACATTCGAAAAGATCGAAATGACGCAGACAGACAAACAGACATAAAAAAATCCCCCTGGATAATCGATCAGGCGAAATGGCAACAAATGGACGACAGCTAAGGGATTCTCAAAGCTTCCAGCCGCTAGTTTGAAGGATGAAGCCCCGAAAAACAGGCCCGACGCCAGCCAGCTAAAATATTGCTTGCATTTCTATGACCCTAACCCGATCCTCAATCAAAATGGGTGGACGCGAACGAACAACTGCCGTTTTTTGGTCACTAGACCCCTCTAGCTAGAGGGCTAGGCGATGATTGATTGATGCAATATTGGGGGCCCACACCCAGTCTAGGCTGAAGACAGCTGCTAGCGGCTCAAAAATTAAATTATGTCTAAATTGGCATCCAATTATAATATAGAAACTATTTAAAAAATGGGGTAATTCGTTTTGAAGGATTTTTAATTCAGTTACCCTCTAACACCGTCCGGGGGGCACTGATTCGATATTTTTCGAATATAATTACGCAAACATTTGATAAAATAAGTTAGTTTGTTTTCAATATCTTAAATGGAATTCACTAATATTAAAAATAATACAAAAAACACAAATCATTTAAAAAAATATTATTCGAAATCAGTGCGCCTGGGCTTGATAATTCAGTGAGCTTCCCGGACAATCGATTACGCTGGGAAATAGAGTTTCTTACCATACAATAATTTTTTTGTTTAATAAAGTAAATAAATTGACATCCAATTAGCTATATACAAAAAAAGAAATAAAATAAAAGCTACCTTCTTGACATAGCGCCAGTGCTTCGTCACTTTCAGTTGTCGTGTCCACCGTGGCACCGCTGGAAATATCGAATTATTATATTAACGCCCAAAATAGGCACATAAACTATAAAAACGGTACGAAAGTAGATTTCCTCAAATTGAGTCGTGTTTTCCGTGAGAATCGAATAAAAGGGGAGGGAAATGGGGGAAGGGAGAAGCAGGTGAAAAACCTTCTTATTAAACGGGCTGCCAGCCAACTACTTGCCGGCAAACAGTAGTTAGACAAAAGGTAAAAAGTTCTTTTGCTAAGAAATCAACTAACTGACATCCAATATTACTAAAAATTCAATAAAAATTATACTATAGCCATTAAAAACTGATTTTTGAAATCACTGGCCCGGGCGGTAGGTAAGAAAATAAAAGGAAAGTTGTTAATATAACGGTAAACTAATTAAAATAAGTTAGGAAAAGAAAATTGCTCAAGAAAGAGCTAAAATGAGAAAAGTATACTAGAAAAGCGTGTTTGGACCCTTGTCCAAGACAGACAATTTTCGCTAGGGTCGGGTATCCTCAGTTGGAATCCCTAGCGGACAATAAAATAGTGCTATTATTTTGGCAAAAGTATCTATAGGATAAGAAAACTATATCGGGAAGGTTAGAGATTAAGTGTATAAACGGGGTAAAAGTTTTACTTTCTCTTTCTGCTTGCTACAACGTAGTTTGCTGAATCGTTTACGTTAGGTAAAGGGGTGGCATAGTAGCGGGGTGTAGTCTACGGGCTGGAATTCGGGAAAAATAAAAAAGGCATGGATTCGAATATGCTATCGATTAAATTGACTAAAAACAAGCCGAACAGGTTTTTGTATAACAAACTACTGTAAAACCCGCGAAAAATTAGATTTCCGCATCCAAGGCCAATTTCGGGCGGCAGTTGACGTGGCTGGCGGTTGCGATTAGGATCTTCTAGCTACTTCGAGTACTGGTTAGACCAGGCAAATAATGCGATCTCTCTAAGTCATTATTTTATTTGTCAGTCAATTTGCATAAAAAAGTTTAAAATGGTTTCTACCTGGTCCGCCAGACGATACCACTCTTATTGTCGTCTCGCCTTTCCGAGGTACGCAACACTGGATAATGGAACACCTGAAAATTGCAGCTTGTTGGTTTGAGGCCATATTTTGTTGTTTATTAACTATTGTTTAATTGATTGCCATTTTAGGAATTTTACGTTTAATAATGCTTCCGAACCAAGTTGGAAAGTTTTTATTGATTTTCAGCTTTTAAGAGATGTTCGTTTTTTGAACATTCAGTGATTCTCCTCTTAAGCTATCAAATTATGTTTTTAAACTTTTTTAGATAGCGTAATCCCTTTACTGCTTAGCAAGCCATTTAATAGCGTAAACGATTAATACAAAATGTTAATTTTCTACCTGTAATGACTGTTGACGGACTCCCTTTCCTCTTCCCTTCTCATCTGTATCATCTCCTTTTGTCCTCATATCCCTCCTTCCTTCTATTCCACGTTGTTCCTCTAGACGGTCTTCTTCCTCCTCTTCTTCTATCGATTTGTCGTGGGGCAATTCCCTTGAATAAATCTGCCGTGAAATTGGTGTGGCCCTCAGGCTGAAGGGAGTCACATTAAATTCGTCGTAGAGGGAAGGACAAGACGAATGGATGGCAAATGAAACCGCGAATTGGCCAAATGGTCGACAGAACAATTTATCGACGTACAAATTGTCTCACTGGCTGGAAATGCAGGGTTTAAAGTCTAAACTACAAACCACCGATGTCAGATTAGAGAAATTGATGGAGGTAACTGAAACCGAAAGAGGCTAAAATGTTAGAAAAACGTTTTATTGACATACAAGGTGCCAAATGCAGATTTCAATCCAAGCTACAAGCTACAGAAGTCAGTTTAAGATATCCGAGGCCCTACGTAACCCAAAAACTCACCCTGATCCCAGAAACCCTATGAGAGCCATATTTTTGGCGTTTTCCGGGGTACGAATTGTAGCGCCCCCACCTGGAAAACACTGAAAAACTACGGTTTCAGCCCGTCACCTGTCAGATTAGCTATAGGACCCAGAAAAACTAGAAGCTGGCCGGCAGCGCGTGTTTTTGTAGCCTTATGGAAATTTTAGAGACAAAAAGCGCATTCTGGCCAGCAAGCTAGACCTTAGAAAAGTTGAAAATAGATGTTAGAGAGAAACTTTTGAAGGTTCTTCTTGGCTGCAATTTAGCCACCCAGCAGAGAGCCCAATTAACGAAAAGACGAAAGGCGCTCGGATTTAAATCGAGAACAAAAAAGAAGGGGTGTCGATGGGCAGGCGCCCCTCTCCACCCCCCGATCCCCCATTCATCCACCCCACTTTTTGGCATCCGGCCAGCCGCGGAGCGGTTTTTTGGATAATTGGGGGCGAATAATGATCGGCAAGGGATATTCTGGCTAACCATTTAGGTATTGGTTGCGTTTAAATTTTGGTTTGGGAACAGCTTGAAAAAAGGCAACTGAAAAATCGAGGGTCACTGAATTTTTTAGGCTAAAAATTCGTTTTTCATAGCATTTTGCGTTGGCTTCAAGACAAAATGCATGAGAGACGAGAAGCTAAAATAATTTTCGGGCTGGCAAAGCGCCAAATAGGCGATTTTCGTAGCGACACAAGGGGGAGGGGAAGAGAGAGGGAGGGGACACCCCCAAAAAGGAATAGATGGGATGGGCCACCCCCTAGTAGAGTAATTGGGCTGCAGAAAAAAGAGAGAGGGGTTATTTTGCGTTGAATAAAAGGGATGGGGAGGCATAGATCTACTCCATCATCAGAATTTAGTTGAAAAGGAGTGATGTGGCGGTCAGATTGACCAATGGGGCTGAGGAGAGAGAGAGAGAGAGAGAGAGAGAGAGAGAGAGAGAGAGAGAGAGAGAGCGAGAGAGAGAGAGCGAGAGAGAGAGAGACTTGCCTGTCATGCCAGTTAAGCCATCAAACTATATAAAAATTGTTAAAGTATAATTTGCCTTACAGACGCCGGTCACTGCAGTTCAAAAGCTCAAACGCCACTTGCAAGAATGAAAGGGCAAAAAGACGTATAGATAGAGATATAAACAGACAGGAAGACAGGCAGAAAGACAAGCAGACAGACACTTAGTAGAAAAACATTCCTGTTACCCCAACTAAACGTTTGGCAGTAACAAAAAGGGCAAGAACACTCCCTGGGGTCTGTGTCCTGAATAACAGTATTATATCCCTGTAATGCGCTTTCCGGTGTGTGTGTGTCACGGCTTTCTCCCGTTTTCTGCCAACGGATTTGTATCTCGGGGACAGCAGAAAGCAAGAAAAAAAAGCAGATCCTACTCTCTTTCCAGAGATTTTGTCGAAAAATTCAAAAAATATGATTTTTTTGTGTAAATCTAAAGAGCTAACTGAATCGTTGTAAGACAATTTAGCTTCAAAGTGAAGATTTTTTTTCGTCGAGCTAGTTTGACTTGCTAGTGAAAATCTATGCGTTTTGGCATGCAACTAAACAGATAACTGAATTCTTTCTAGTCAGTTTGGGTGAAAATTGGAAAAACACGATTTTTGCCATGCAGCTGAAAAGATAACTGATTTTTCCCAAACTTTATGCAATATTTAATTAAATGTTGCAGTTGGGAGATTTGTTCTCTATCCGATATGACGAATGCTTGAAGAGATAAAGTGAAAAACAAAAGGAGGCCATGTCATTTCCAGCCATTCACATCTTTCTATTTATAGCCCCCCTTGCTATGCAATCAGCAGAAGAGAGGGGTCAGTGCAAGGTGTGTCACTACGCAAATTGGCTAGCGCTTAACTGCTTAGCATTTAAAAATTTGTGTAATTTAATTTGTAATATTTATTATAGTAATTAGACTAGGATTTTTTATTAAATGAGTATCGATATGAGCAGGGAAATCAAGATGGACATCAGAACGGAGGGGATCGCCGTATTTTTCTTCAAATTTAGCTAAAAATCGCATTTTTAATGGCTCAATTCAGTTCAGTGACCTGCAATGGTTCCGTCCGTGTCTCCCCTTCATTGCGAACAATGACCGATACGGAATCCGTAGCTTCAACCCTGGCTAGCATCAGTCGAATTGAATGGCAATAGGGCTTCGGGCGGGCTGGGCCTGAAATTGAGCCAGTTTTTGACAGGGTCATTGAATTTTCCAGTGACCAGAATAAATTGGCAAAAATATTTGATATTCCATTCTACCAACCATCATTTCTGGTCCTGATTTTCAACTGTCGAAGCAGTGACACCGCTGCTTTTCCATCCGCTTCCCCAGTCCCCAATAATTGTCCGTTTACCAGGAAGGTTACTTCCGGTTTCGGATTGGCGCATATCTAAAGGCTTACTGTAGGACAGGCCATTTTTTTCATTTCAGTGGCCCATCTGCCTTATAGGCTTTGAAACGGGTCCATAATAGCCCGTAAATCTCCGTTTCTTTACCCCACCTCGACTTCGATAAATCCAGCCTGGCCAACAGTCAATTGACTGTCCACCTTCTCTATCTTCTCAATCCCGGCCACGTTGACGACTATCTCGGAACTGAATAGAAATCTATGATTTTATTCCATAAACGGACCTGAACGCCTTCTTCGGGCTGTCCTGTACAATTCCCTGGCATCGATACTTGCCAGTTGAATTGAGAGATGTGATACGGAGGATGCATTGGGAGGTGACTCGATGCTCGACATCTTGGCTAAATTTATGATCGAAATCAATTTATTTAGATTTTTTGAGAGTTTTTGATAGGGTAAGTGATTTGAAAAATGCCTCTTTCGAAGGTAACCGATTTGAAAACTCACGCGATCCTTTAAAAATTTTTGTTAAATTGTATAGCAGTTAAGACTATGATAGCTTTTGATAGTGCATAAAGCTTTCTTTAAAAATTTAATCGGATTTTCAGGCACTCAGCCTAAAAACCTCGACAAACCTGCATATCTTGTTCTCGTCCTTCGTCGAACACGCAAAATCAATCCAGTTACCCCCGATCTAAAAATGTTGATTATTTTGAATAGGCGTGAACACAATTTAACAAATAAAATGTTTGAACCTCTGAACCTACCTCATCTGATGGCCGATGTTGCCAGATTACTTGCGCAGGTGCTGGGCGGGAGGTGAATTCACAGCTCATATTCACCACACCGGCGTTCAGCTATAAAGGTCACTGATTTGAAAATCGGTTATTTTTTGTAATCCTGAGCATTAAATAAAAGTTCATAATGGAGCATGTAGGTCAGGAATGAAGAAAAAATAGATAGAAATGTTTAGTAATTTTACAAAACTATTTTCTCACCTGATAAGTTCCAGCCGCGGCCGCATTCTCTTCTTTTTCGAGCCATACACCACACATTGGAGATCGATCCTTTAAAGGGACGGTAAAGGCATTGCTATCGATTTTGCCGCGTTACGCAACGCGCAAGCTGTACTTTCCATAGCATAATCGATTGGGATTAAATCAAAAAAATCCGCTACGCACCTGTTTACACTCCGAATAACATGATGAATCTGCCAAAATAGACCCAATTAAAAGACCGAAAGACAAAGAGAGAAGCACCACCATCCAAGCTGCACTACAAAGTATGAGAATTATTAATTTGTAAGGGAAATACGCCATAAAATCAATATTTCCAGACGATTGAGTCACAAATTGGAAGCCAAGGAAGCCAAGGCTTTCGTCTTATCTGGTCTTTTTTTGAAATTCGGGGCCCGAAGGGGGAGTTGAATGAGGAAAGGAAGGCGCTTGAAACCGAGATAAGCCCACTCACTACGCTATTCCCTCAAATAGCCAAATAGGGATAGCCGTCAAGTTATGTCTGTCTACGCTACGACCCGTTTGAGCACAGCTACACTCTTTTTGCGTTAAATAACAATTTTTGGGTCAAATAAGACGAAAAACTGGCAAGAAATCTTCAAAATCTCAAAACCGTATAAAGGCTAAATTCAACAAACTTTTTTGGTTGGCAAGTAAGTCAGAAAATGCAAAACCCACTCGTTTCACGTCTAAACTGGCGTCCCTTGTGAACTCTGTGCTCAGCAGGGCCCGATTTGTCTTTGTTGGCGGCTACTCGACCAGGGCTAATGCGGCTTTGACCTCAAGCAACGCTCCAGCCCCTAGAAGGCCCGACAACCGATTACGCGCTATCAAATTGGGGCTTTCTGGGCTGCATTGTGTTAGCTGAAATGTATTTTTATAATCTGAAAACTTTCGAAATTCAGTTACCCCCAATTCAGTTACGCTCAAATCAGTGACCCTAATGCTGCTCTCTCCGATTCCTTTGTTGAAACTTCCGATATTTTTATTCAATTTATTTGTCGCCTGCTCCAAAGGTGGCTTTTAAATGTTGAAATCTTTTGCGATAAATACGTTCCAGTCATTTAGCGATATTAAAATTGCGTAATCAGTTGTTGTCCCCGGTTTGTGACCATCGAAGCTTCAGATCGTTTGCGCCGACGTTGCGATGGCGCTGACAGTAGTGAGCCTGGAAATAAGGGGGTTAGCAGGGATTCTTTGAGGAAGGGAAGGCGCTGTCTAGCAGCGATTATTTAGTATATTGATACCTCGTGTATGAGCTGCTTCTTCGAAGTATAATTCTGTGCAATAATAGCGTGTATTCCAGTTGGTTGTTGTTGTTCGTCCGCTTCATCTCTCAGTGGATGCATTAATTGATATAATTGTGTTGTTGAATGAATGTCCATCCTATCCATCATTTCCCCCAATATCGCCATCAGCTTTTCTTGGGCGGCTGTGAATTGTTTGTTGGCATCCTGGAAGTCAGACAGTTAAAAAATGCAAAATCAAGGTCGACCACCATGGCCAAGTGGTAAGTGACGGCGCCTACCGATCTGACGACCCAGGTTCGACTCCCCGCCGCGGCAGATTTTTGCCTTTTTTGCTCCAAATTCTCAGAATCGGCGAACTGGCAGCCAGTAAGCTTGTAGCAGCTTTGGAAAAAGCGGAATTCACCTCTGGAATTTAGATATATCCACCTGACGCCGACGGCCAGTTCATCTTGACGTCAATAATGGACGAGACGACGACGTTCAGAGGTTGACGGCAGGGTCTGAAAGAAAGAGGGGCAGATACTGGACTGCTAACGGGCGGATGGATTTTAGCAGGTCGAGAAAACGAATTTTTCCAGGTTTTTCCAAAAATTTGGTTTTTCGAACGTGTTTCGGGACAAAAAAAGCAAATCAGGATTTTGGCCCTAAAAATCAAATTTCCTTGCTTTCGAAATATCAAAATCGGAAACAGCATGTAATTTTACATCGAATGGGTCGCAACTAAAAATTTTCCAACCAGGGATTTTCAGGAAACTTTTTGTCGACTTACAGATTGAAGAATATGATGGACGAGTTGTGGATTTATTGAATGGGATTTCAGACAATCATTCACTTTCGAATAACATTGCGTCAAACGGAGGAATGGAGTGTTGCTCAGCTGAAAACAGGATAGATTGTGTTGAGAGCAAAGAAATTGATTTGGCGAAAAAATCGGCCTTGGAGACCGTGGCCTAGTGGTTAGTGGCCGCGCCTACCATCTGACGACCCGGGTTCGAAACCCGGCCGGGGCGAACCTTTACTGTTTGGATCAAACGCTCGGAATCGGTTACCTGACAGCCAGTAGAGCGAATGCGGGAGAAAGAGAGCGACAGACAGAGAGAGAGAGAGAGAGAGAGAGAGAGAGAGAGAGACAGAGAGACAGAGACGGTTAGAGAAAAACCGTTTACCTGATCCACTGCATCTTTAAAAGCTGCCAGAAATTTATCAGGTGGCAGCCCGACCCCTCTAATTGTCGCCCGATCCGGATACGTATCCTTCGGCACGCAACGAGCCAACCTGATGGCCCTGAAAGGATACCTTTAACCGAAATAAATGAGAGCCAACAGAGCGGATGGCGACATTTATCTCTCTCTCTCTCTCTCTCTCTCTCTCTCTCTCTCCCACCGTGATTCGACCCAGAATGCGTCGCCGAAGGTTTCGCTGATGGCAAAATTGCGTCGCCAGAAGATGTTCAGCTCCCCGAATCCATCGGGCAGCATCTGAAGTGCTCAATAAACAAAATATAGAATTCTTTGCAAAGAAATATCGGATAAAATCTGTATTGGACGATAAAGTGCGGGATCGATAGTGACATTCAGCCGTCCGAATCTCATCCACCTCGTCATCTTGTCGACGATGCGAAAGTTTTTGAATACGGGTAGGCCGTCACGCACGCTGAGCTCTCCCTAAAAGAGCACAATCGTTGTAGTCTGTAGCCTGGCTGCCAGCTGAGCAACGCCAAACAAATTCTGGCTCTAAATTCCAAAACTCCAAAGGTTTGCCGCGGGCAGGGGTCGAAACTGCGCCCCTGGGAACGCTTTTGTAGTCTAGATTTTGTAGTCTATATTCTCTCGTTGCCAGCTTCCGAATTCCAATCGTAAGCTATTTTGGACGATCGCTCTTGGCTTACCTTATTGGGACCAGCGTTAACGAGCCGCTTCCCATAGTCGTTCCTGCAACAACAAGTGATGGTTGCTGGGCCTTCTGGGAGGCCTGGTGCGTTGGCTTGAGGGCAAAAGACGCTTTGGGACAAAGAGGCCAAGCTAGCAAAGACCCTTTGGCGCCCATTTCAGCCGTTTCGGAACCTTCAATCGACCCCTTAAACCCCGTTTACAGGTGTCACCGTCCTTTAAAAGCGTTTTCAGGCCGCCCTGAAGGCTGGGCAAGTACAGTGGGGATCCTTTGCGAATACGTGAAAATACTAATTACGGTATATTATAACATAAAAGGTGGATTTTTATAGCCGTCGACTAGGCTACAAAAGGTCCATATAAGCACGATGGATATTTTGTTGAAACGTTTGTGGTGGAGAGGTTAAAAGCGAAGAAGAAGAAAAGGCGGGAGACATCTGTCTGAAAGGTACACAAGACGGGGGCCGAATCTAACCCAATTCTCGACACCAATAGAATCTTTAATCTAATCTGACCCAATACTTAAACTCTTCCGGCCGCGTTTTCACAAAGGAA